CTTCTCTTGCCTCAGCCTCCCGAGTAACTCAGACTACAGGTGGCCGCCACCACACCTGGCTAATTTGTTGTTGTTGTTTTTGGAAATGGAATCTTGCTCTGTTGCTCAGGCTGGAGTGCAGTGGCTTGATCTCAGCTCACTGCAAGCTCCACCTCCCGGGTTCATACCATTCTCCTGTCTCAGGCTCCTGAGTAGCTGGGACTACAGGCGCCCGCCACCACACCCGGCTAATTTTTTGTATTTTCAGTAGAGATGGGGTTTCACTGTGTTAGCCAGGATGGTCTCAATCTCCTGACCTCATGATCTGCCCGCTTCAGCCTCCCAGAGTGCTGTGATTACAGGCGTAAGCCACTGTGCCTGTCCTAGTTTTTGTATTTTTAGTAGAGACGGGATGTCACCATGTTGGCCAGGCTGATCTTGAAGCCCTGACCTCAGGTGATCGCCTGCCTTGGCCTCCCAAAGTGCTGGTATTACAGGTGTGAGTCATTGTGCGTGGCCAACCGTTTCCATTTTATTATGGAATTCTTCTGGCCTCTATAGGCCCCATTAGAGCATTTCTCTGATTTCACCCAAGACATCTGGGTATTTCAGGTTTCAAGATAATTTTATGTCCTTCTGTCATAGGAGTAGCTTCAGTTAATGTCCCATAACAAGGTAGTAAGTGCCCCTCAAGGGGACATTCCCTAGTCCAAAGTCCAGTAGTTGTTGCAGGGAGGTGCACACAGGCTTTTGCCATAAGCCCCAGGAAATACTCTACAGAGGGTTATCCGGTGGAGAATTTGTCCCTGCCAGCGCTCTAGCTTCTACTCTGCACTGTGTGGGCCTGGGCAATCTTGCTGGTTCCCGTTGAGCATGTCCAGCTCATGTAGCTTGAAGGGCGATTTACATACTTCTGTTTTACAGCAGTAGGAAGGGGAGACATTCCCTAATTAGATATAGTGTTCATTCCCATGATACAGTCAGATAAAAGCAACCACTTCACATGAAGTATGTTCAAATACATAACTGTACATTTTGGCATGAACACATTACTTGATAGGGTCAAGCCTTCACTGGTCTATTTCTTTGTTTATTTTTTTTGAGACAGAGTCTCACTCTGTCACCCAGGCTGGAGTGCAGTGGCGCAATCTTGGCTCACTGCAACCTCTGTCTCCCGGGTTCAAGTGATTCTCCTGCCTCAGCCTCCTGAGTAGCTGGTACTATAGGTGTGTGCCACCACACCTGGCTAATTTTTGTATTTTTAGTAGAGATGGGGTTTCACCATGTTGGCCGGGCTGGTCTCGAACTCCTGACCTCAAGTGATCCACCACCTCCTGACCTCAAGTAATCCTCCTGACCTCAAGTGATCCACTAGCCTCAGCCTTCCAAAGTGCAGGGATTACAGGTGTGAGCCCCCCTGCCCAGCCAGGTCTTTCTATTTCTTTGAGCTATTTAGATCTCGAGGGTGTTTAAAGGTCCTGAAACAAAATGTCAAGAGGCTTGTTCCTATTTTCTCCTATTTATTTGTTTAACCTACAAACCCGGAGAGCTTTCCAACTTGGTGGGGAAAATAAACGAGTAATATTTAATTACCTTCATGAAAGAGTAACTTTAAAAAGTTGGCTTACCTTTACTGAGCCTGAGCCGGGTGCACCAAATGCAGCCTCCCATCTGTTCCCAGCCCTAGGAGGTACAGGTGCTGTCGTCATGCAGGTGAGGAAACCAAGTCCTCCCTGAGACGCTGTTTCCGTAGGGCTGTCTTCCCTTTTCCTAGCTGTCACCTCTCATCCCATTCTGCACCGTCTTTGGCCCTGACAAGTGTCAGGGTTGGAAGAGACGAGAGGGCAACTGAGAATATTCATCACAATCTGCCCAGAGTCATGGGCTGAGGACAGGAGAGAGGAGAACCGTGTCCAGACATGTTTCCCTTGCTCTTCTGCAGAGATGGTAATGGCAGTTGAATTTTCACAGTGGCGTGGGTTATCCTTAAGCCAGGGTCAGACCAGGCCCACTGGATTTGGAAAGGGCCCTGGAGGAGGGGTCACAGTGCCTGGGTTCTAGTTCCAGCCCTGCTGGTAAATAGAACATAACTTCAGGCAAATGATTATCCCCTGGGCCTCTGTAGGAGGAGGTAATATCACCTGCTCTGCCAGAGCCCAAAGATTGGGCAGATCAAGTAGGAGAGTGTGTGCCATGCCATGTTGGGAAGCTGGAATGGCAGGGACTCTTGATGGCCAGATAGCTGGCTTAGCCCACTTGGGTGCAGGGGAGCAACCCCCAGAGGGGAGCATCAAAGCCTGTGCGAAGGCTCAAGGGTGGCCTCCTGCGAGGTCAGGCCTGCCCCAGGAGCTGTTGGCTGTAGGGTTTGGTGCGTGGGGCCCTAATTCCCCACTGCTCCTTGTCCACTTTGATTTTATCCTTCGGTTCTGTTCCCCCCTCTACCCCAGAGCACTAGAGCAGTTGCAAGAAAGTGCTGTTGCTCAGTTTTCAGCCTCAGGCTCCACTCTGCTCACCCTCTGTGGCCAGCTTTTCCTATGAAAAGAGCTTTGCGAACAACCTCCGTTCTGTCTCCTCTGTCCCATCACGTCGCAAGGAGGCTGGCTGGCTACTCGCAGGATAAGCCTGCTGCTTCTCGCTTCTGGAGCCCCGCCTCATATCAGCTTCTATGTGGGGCCCTTTTTCTTTTGGCCACTGCTGATGATCCAGTAGAAACCCGCTTGGAGGAGCCAGCTCTGGTTTTCTGGCGTGCGTGTGTGCGTGCATGTGTGCGTGCGTGCGTGTGCGTGCGTGTGCGTGACGCTCCGCCAGCTTTTGCCCCTCCTCCTCGGTGGCTCTCTGTTCTGCCGCAGGTGCCCCCTCCCTGAGCTGTTTTTGCTTGGGCTCTTCTCTCTCTCATCGCCTTCCACAGGAACCATGGCTGTGAGGTGGTGAAGGTGGTGTTTTTAATCCACCGGTTCAAGAAGATCGGGTGTTTCCTGACTGTCACCAAAGACGGCATCCTGCAGTTCTGGTCTGAGTCCTTCTCGCTGATCAGCTCCTTTAGGGTGAGTGGGGCCCGTACACATGGTACACACATGGGTCATTGGAGAGCCTCTGCCTTAGCTCCCCCATGCTGAAGGTGACCTGGAGCCAGGCAGATTCATGGTCTAAGCAGCCTGGACTCGCAGTCACAGCACCTGGGTCCTGTGGGAGCCACACATTTCCCTTCTGCTAAGCGGGATTCCACCTGGATGTCCATTCCATGTGGTGTCTCACAGACCCCTCAAACCCATTAGCCCAAACAGCATGTCCCTTTTGCTATCCCTGCCCACCAGGTTTCCTTCTCTTGCATCCCCATCTCAGTGAATGGCATCGTCACCCCCAAGACTCCTGTGCTACGGGTCAGCCACTCCCATGCTGTCACCACGTCCTACCAGTTCAGGCCTTTTGCCTGGACCAGGCGGGAAATCATAGTGGTTGTGAGCGTGGGCTCTGGAGCCCAACTCCCAGGGTTAGAGTCCTGACTGTACCACCTGCCAGCTCTGTGACCTGGACAAGGTACTATAGATGCCCCATGCCTCAGTTTCCCCATCTGTCAAATGGGGCTAGTTACAGTGCTTCTTCACAGTGCTTTTGGGAACACGCGATGACATAATACATGTGTAGTGCTTGGGGCAGGGCAGGGCACACAGCAAGTCCCCGCTGGATATATTGTCTTTGTACTGCCAGCTGCTGGCTGAGAGTAGCAAATGAGAAGACACTCAGGAGAACCTGCTGTGTACTTGGTCACCAGGCCAGTCCAGAATCCTCCAGCAGACGAAGAAAACATTGCTCTCCAGGGCTCTACAGAAAGGTTGATTGAGAACAGAGCCCCCAGATGAAGGGCTTTCTGAGCCTGTGTAACTGCAGAGTGATTCACAGTTGCATCAGGGCTCATCCTTTGGGGAAGAAGAGACCTGGGTGAAACTAAGGTCCGTGGGGGTCCCGTGGCTCTCCTGGGTGCACCAAGCGGGAGTCACGATTACCATCCTGAGGCTGTGGCTTCCATAGCCCTCCACCTTCCCTTTCTGTGTGTGGACTGGGGCAGGATGTGTTGCAGCCAGAGCTCCTGCTTGTGACTGCTACATGGTCACCGAAGCACCTCCAAAGGCTGAAGGGGACAGAGGAAGGCTCTCTGGGAAGGCCCAGCAGACCTGGATTCTTCCTGGAGGGGCTGCTTTGGCAGGAGTAGGCCTCTCAGGACCACACACCCACTGTCATGAAGGTGGAAAGACCTTAAGTTGGAGGCGGGGCCTGAGCTCCCCTCAAGAGCTGTGTGATCTTGGGCACAGGTCACTGAAATTCCCTAGGGCTTTTGGTTTCGCTGAACACTGCGGGGCAGGGGTGGGAGTTACCAAGCTACGGGTGTGTGTGAGTTAGACCCCAGCCCTGGGCAGGAGAGAGGGGCTCAGGAGGGTTCTTGTCCACTGTCTTCACCACCAGAACCACCTGGGGAGCCTTGGTGCTCTCTGAGTTCTGATGGGACAGGCTCCTCTCTGCCCCTGCCTTCCCTATTCCTTCTGATTATCCATGTAGAGGAATTGGTTTATGCTCCTCCCTGCTCCTTCCTTCCAGCTTTTCAGATCATACTTCTTTCTGCTTTCTTCAGTTCAGAGTCTGTGGTGTCATTCAAAGAGTAAAATACAGCACCACACATGGAGGCTTATGCCTGTAATCCCAGCACTTTGGGAGGCCAAGGCAGGCAGATCACTTGAGGTCAGGAGCTCGAGACCAGCCTGGCCACCATGGTGAAACCCTGTCTCTGCTAAAAATACAAAAATTAGCCAGACATAGTGGCACACACCTGTAATCTCAGCTACTCGGGAGGCTGAGACATGGGAATCGCTTGAACCTGGGAGGCAGAGGTTCCAGTGAGCGGAGATCGCGCCACTGCACTCCAGCCTGGGCGACAGAGCAAGACTCTGTCTCAAAAAAAAAAAGAGAGTAAAATACAGATTCCTTAGGTGGCCACACCTACCTCATCTCTGGTTCCTCTCCAGCTCTAAACTGAGTGGGCTGGCCTCCCCCTTCCCCAGGACACAGCAGCTCATTTCTGCTGACCTGACTCTGCTCGTGGCTTTCCCTGCCTGGAGTGCCAGCTCACATTGTCTCTGTGTACATGCTACACGAGTGCAGGAGGCACCGGTGCTGAGCTCCTACTGAGTGCCGGGCACCACCCTCAATGCTTTAATTATTCCATTCATTCCTCGCAACTTTGCAGAACAAATCCTTGGTTCATAAGCCACTTTGACCAGGTGACACCTGCAGATGGAAAACAGGATTCATACCTATGGAGGGGCAGACAGGGGAAGTCAGTCTTCCTTCCCTCAGTTCCTACTTCCTCTCCCTGCAGGCAAATGCTATGACCAGTTTTGGAGTGCTCTTCCATGGCTATCCTCTCTGTATACCCGCCTTTTCTTTTCTTTTCTTTTTTTTTTTTTGAGACTGGGTCTTGCTCTGTCACCCAGGCTGGAGTGTAGTGATGCAATCATGGCTCACTGCAACCTTAACCTCCTGGGGTCAAGGGATCTTCCCACCTCAGCCTCCCAAGTAGCTGGGATTACAGGCAAGCACCACCACGCCCAACTAATTTTTGTATTTTTAGTAGAGACGGGGTTTCAACATTGGCCAGGCTGGTCTCGAACTCCTGACCTAGTGATCTGCCCACCCCAGCCTCCCAAAGTGCTGAGATTACAGGTGTGAGCCACTGCACCCAGCCTTTTTTGTTAATTTTGTAGAGATGGGGTCTTCCTATGTTGCCCAGGCTGGAGTGTAGTGGCATGATCTTGGCTCACTGCAACCTCCGCCTCCTGGGTTCAAGCGATTCTCCTGCCTCAGCCTCCCAAGTAGCTGGGATTACAGGCAAGCACCACCACGCCCAACTAATTTTTGTATTTTTAGTAGAGACGGGGTTTCAACATTGGCCAGGCTGGTCTCGAACTCCTGACCTAGTGATCTGCCCACCCCAGCCTCCCAAAGTGCTGAGATTACAGGTGTGAGCCACTGCACCCAGCCTTTTTTGTTAATTTTGTAGAGATGAGGTCTTCCTATGTTGCCCAGGCTGGTCTTGAACTCCTGGGCTCAAGTGATCCTCCCGCCTTGGCCTCTGAAAGTACTAAGATTACAGGCATGAACCACTGTGCCCTTTTCTTTTTAAATGTGATAATGGAGGCATATTATAATGTTGCTTTTTACCTTGATTTGTTACTTAATCATATCTCTTGGCAGCTCTTTATTGGCATGTGCACAGCTCCCTTGTTCTTAATGTCTGGGTGGTGTCCATGGTATGGGTTGATATCAGCTGTGCTTTCTAAGTGGCTTCTGGCCTGTTGCTCTAACAGCAGCTGCAGCGTCCCCTTTGAGTAGATGCAAACACACTCATAGAAATATCTTGGAAACAGATCCGTGGGTCATGATCTATGCATATTCAAGACTTTGGTTTTTTTTGGGTGGGGGGGACAAGGTCTCACTCTTGCCTAGGCTTGAGTGCAGTGGTGTGTTCACGGCTCACTGCTGCCAAGACTTTTATAGAACTGTGAGACTGCTCCAGAAAGGGCTTGTAAAGAAGGTGTTCTTCAAGCCTGTTTTACAGATGTGGAAACTGAGACCCAGGGAGGCTAGGGAGTTTATCTGTTTATCCAAGGCCCCCACCACTAGTCTTAGTGGTAGTGCTGGGCTCCCTGCTAGGTCTGTGGTGGCTCCAGGGCCTCGTGTGGCAGGAGAGGTTCACGGGGAGCTGTGCTGGACTGAGTATGCTTCCCAGCCCGCCCATCTCCTCTGCTTTTCCTCTGGCCAGCTTAACCAGACCCAGCAGCTCTACAACCAGCCGATGTGGGTCGTCGACATGGTATGTCTGCACAATATGAACCTCATTGCAGTTGCGTCTACCAAGCAAAAGATAGGTGAGTCCCCCTGGGGGCTCCCCAGCCCTGCTCTCAGCCACTGGGAGCCATGCATTTGTGCCTGGGAGAAGTCTGTTAGCTGAGCAACTGTGAACATGAATCAGAGCCCCATAGGAGGATTGCCAGGTGGAGAGGCCTTAGTGCCAAGTAGGCAGGGGGTGGTCTGTGAATGCTTGAATGAATACAGTGATGTTGAACAGACCAAAATTTACAAGCCAGAGGCCGTAACTGGTCTATCTCCGGTCCTGATTCTACCTCCTGCCTCTTGCCACTCCTAGTCCAGGCCCCCTTCACTCTCACTTAAATAGCCTCTCCTGGCTAGGTGTGGTGGTTCACTCCTGTAATCCCAGCACTTTGGGAGGCGGATCACCTGAGGTCAGGAGTTCAAGACCAGCCTGGCCAACGTGGTGAAACCCCGTCCCTACCAAAAGTACAAAAAATTAGCCGGGCTTGGTGGTAGGCACCTATAGTCCCAGCTACTCGGGAGGCTGAGGCAGGAGAATGGCGTGAAACCAGGAGGCGGAGCTTGCAGTGAGCTGAGATCCTGCCACTGCCATCCAGCCTGGATGACAGAGCGAGACTCTGTCTCAAAAACAGAAGAAAACAAAACAAAATACAAAAGTTACCTGGGTGTGGTGGCACACGCCTGTAATCCCAGTTACTCAGGAGGCTGAGGCAGGAGAATTGCTTGAACCTGGGAGGTGGAGGTTGCAGTAAGCCGAGATCACACCACTGCACTCCAGCGTGGGCGACAGAGAGAGACTCAGTTAAAAAAAAAAAAAAAAAAAAAAAGCCTCTACTGCATGCTGTGCTTCCCTCATGCCCCCAAAGGCAGGATGTGCATTTACACTACCCTCTGCAGAAAGTCTTCACCCTACCCCAGTGTTCTTAGGATGGAGGCGGGATCCTCGGTCTCTGTGCCCTGCCATCCCTCCTGCCCCTCTCTCTGCCCCGACAGCCTCTGCTTTTCTTTTGGTTCTCATCTTAGAAGTTACTTCCTCCAGGAATCCCTCCCTGACCCTCTATTCCAAGATCCTCTTAAAAAGACCGCGTGAGATTGTACCTCTTCCCTTCAAGGTCCTCCTTTCAGTGTCATCTCACATGTATTAGTGTGCTTCTGTTTAGTGCATGTCTCCTCCTCCAAACTGGAAGCTCCATGAGGTCAGGGACTGCATCTGTTCTGCTCAACTCAGTGTCTCAGTGCCTGGTACCTTCTGGATGCTTGATGACTATTGAATGGATGGATGATGAATGAGGCCTCTGACTGAGCAGATCCGTAAGGTGGTCAGGAAGAGGAAATTAATACATGAAAAGACAGCTGGCAATGCGAGGCTGAATGGGAGGAGAGAGCGTGGCTGTTCTGGAATAAACAGGGACTTTGGAATAAAAAGGACCTGGGTTCAGAGCCTGGTCCCACCGCTCTGTAGATGTCTGCCTTTGAGCAATTACTTGACCTCCCAGTGCCTCACTTTACCCAGAGGTAAAATGGGGCCAATGATACATGACTCGAGGGTGAGTGTGGCTTAGTAGTTAGGTGTGTGAAGCTGCGGGCATAGTGCCTGGCACATAGTGGGCAGTTAATTAACACTGACATCATTATGAGGCTAAATTGTGTGATACAGAGAAAGTGGTCAGCCATCAGCAAGGGCTAGAGTAATCTATCTGTGACCTGCCTGGGCTTTCCATTGCAACACCTGGGGACCCGGTGCTGTCCCAGACATTCTCACCCTTTATCCTCAGACAACCCTGAAAATTTGGCATTAGAACCCCATTTATTTTTCATTTTTTTGAGACGGTCTCACTCTGTCGCCCAGGCTGGAGTGCAGTGGTGCAATCTCGGCTCACTGCAACCTCTGCCTGCTGGGTTCAAGTGATTCTCCTGCCTCAGCCTCCTGAGTAGCTGGACTAGGGATTCATTTATTTTGGTTGAAAAAAAAATACTGAATTCTGGTTTGATGATGGGCTGGACCTGGTCTGCTGGGCCTGTGTTTGTGGGCTCATCAGGTGTCTGGGTATACAGGCGCACACCACCACACCTGGCTGATTTTTGTATTTTTAGTAGAGACAGGGTTTCACCATGTTGGCCAGGCTGGTCTCCATCTCCTGACCTCAGGTGGTTCACCCGCCTCAGCCTCCCACAGTGCTGGCATTACAGGTGTAAGCCATTGCACCCAGCCTAGAACCCCATTTTAGAGATAATTATGTCATCACTGCTGTCCTGATGGAGCAGCTGTCACCTGCTCGGAGGCACTCAGACAAGGCCAGAAGCAGGGGTGGAAGTGCCACCAGTGTGATCCCTGTCCTTTGTGGCCCCAGCCCAGTCCAGCCAGCGCTCCTCTTGTGACCCACAGCCCTCTGGGGTGGCCGGCCATATAGAGAGGCAGAGGAGGGCGACAGGCTGCCATTCAGATGCAGGAGACAGCACAATGGCGAGGCTGTTGCTCATCAGAGGCTGAAAATGAGGCTTGATCTGTTGGAAGGAGTCAGATTTTTTTTTTTTTTTTTAAATTGAGACAGGGTCTTGCTCTGTCACCCAGGCTTTAGTGCAGTGGTACAATCACTGCTCACTGCAGTTTCAAACTCCTGGGCTCAAGCAATCCTCTTGCCTTAGCCTCCCTGAGTGCTGGGATCACAGGTGTGAGCCACCACACCCAGCCTGGGATTTTATTCCAGCTGCAGTTGTAAGCCTTTAGGGGTTTTCAGTGGGGTTCCCAGTGGGTGAGTTTACTCTGTAAATAGCTGTCTGTGGTTACCATGGGGGAAAAAGGGCTGAAGGGGCCAGAGATTCCTTGGGAGAGCAATGAGGCTGCTCACCGTGACTGAAGACCTCTCAGGCACGGCTGTGGGCTTCATGTGGCCTTCTGTCTTTCCCCCAGATTTCTTTGATATTAGTGACCGCAAATGTGTCCCGGCCTTCACCTTTATTGATCTGGACAGCTGTGCCCTGGTCATGGACTACTGGTGAGTCTCCACTGGGTGTTCCCCACATGAACCAGGAGGCCCAGGCCTCCTGCAGCAGCCACATCACTGACTAGGGTTGGGGCCCCCAGAAAGCCTCCTTGGAAAGATCTGGAAAGATCTCCCCTCTGGCTCCAAGGCCCCTGTGTCTTCCTCCCTCCAGGCTGCTTCTCTCTCAGAGTCAACTCTCATGGTCACTCAGAGAGCTTGGAGTCATTGTCACTTCCCCACTCAAGACAGCCATCAAATCCCAGCAGAGGCTTGTCTGGCTGTGGCTGAGGAGTCCGGGGACATCACAGTCTATTGGGAGGGGTGACTTAACAAAGGGCAGCTGGAGGACTAGGGATTCATTTATTTTGGTTGAAAAAAAAAATTGAATTCTGGTTCAGTGATGGGCTGGACCTGGTCTGCCTGTGTTTGTTGGCTCCTCAGGTGTCTGGGCAAGGCCAGAAAGTCTTGTTGGAACTGCCCTTGCTTCCAAGGAGAAGGGAGGCTATTGGGGGGCAAGGGAGGGAGCGGAGGCTCCACAACCTCTTTTTTTTTTTTCTTTTTTTTTTTTGACTCAGAGTCTTGCCCTGTCTCCCAGGCTGGAGTGCAGTGGCACCATCTCAGCTCACTACAGCCTCTACCTCCCGAGTAGCTGGGATTGCAGGTGCCTGCCACCATGTTTGGCTAATTTTTGTATTTTTAGTAGAGATGAGGTTTCACCATGTTGGCCAGGCTGGTCTCGAACTTCTGACCTCAGGTGATTAAGCCGCCTTGGCCTCCCAGAGTGCTGAGATTACAGGTGTGAGCCACCGCGCCCGGCCCACACAGCCTCTTCTCTCCATCTTTCTGCAGGTCTGACTATCACAGAGGTGTATTCTGCTATGGGGACGCCAAAGGCAATGTCATTGTCTTCACCTCCGAAAACGTGACCAGTGGGCTGTTCAACCCCCGTATTCTCCCCAGGGCCTCCAAGTGGGGTAGTTAAGATGCTGGGGAAGGGGGCGGAGGCCTGGGCATGGCCTAGACGTGGGTGCTGAGCCCATCCTGGTCCCTGAGCCCCCCACTCCCTGCTTCTGCTCTGGAGCCTCTGGGAAGGCATCTGCTTCTGAGCGCAGGATGCATGCAGCTCAGCACAAAGGGAGAGGCGATGGGGGACAGCAGAAGACCACGGGGGCTGGGGAGGGGTCGGCCTCTCTGAGGATGGGAGGCTGTGCGGGTGTGGTCTGGGGGTGCAGGACGCTTCTCACCCCAGCACAATGCCAGTGGTGGGACCCTGGGGAAGTCCCTCATCCACTCTGATCCTGGTTGACAGCGCTGATGCTAACTTCCTCAGATGGTGGTGAGGAGGCAGGTGCTCTCCTTGGCTCTAGTGCTGCCTTTGGTGGGCAGGGGCTGTCCTGGATGTGGGCTCTGTGGAGCCTGGGCACTGGCTGGCTGGCGTGGGTGAGTGGGCACAGCTGCTAGAGTCTAGAGCACCCCTTGCTGAGCGCTTTGCGTGCATCACCTCCCATAGCTGCCCCTACTGTCAGGAGGGAGGAGCCGCTGCTGCAGCCCATAATAAGAGGCAGAAAGGGTGAGGTCACCTGCACACACCCCTGCCCGGTGAGCGGGGGCTAAGATCTGAAGTCCGGCCGCCTGCCTTGGAGTCTGTGCTTTTAGCCTTTTGCTGGGCTGCATCCCACACTGATTAAACGCAGGAGGAAGTCACTGGAGCTGTTCTGCCCAGGTCGCTAGATCCTCAGAGGACACGGCTCGGGGCTGTCTAGGAAACTCATCTGAACTGGAGCGCCTCTAGAATCCAGCCTTGCATGCACAGTGCTGCCTCTCCAGGTTGCCTCACATCCACCAGGAGGCCCAGGCCACCAGGGACCCCATACAGGGACACTGACCCCTCTTCCAGCCAGAGTTACTAAGCAGGACACTCCAGGGGTTCCCAGGCCTTGGTAACAGGCCCCTGGCAGGCTTGTTGGGGCAGTGTCCAGATCCTGTCCTGGACACAGCAGTGGGCTGGCACCCTGCTTGCCTCATCGGCCTCGGGGGCCTGCCCTGCCCTGAGCCGCCCACTCAGCTGCTTGAGCCTAGTCACTCTGTACTACCCTGGGAACTGGCATGGGAGGTTGTGGTGGTCTTTGAGCCACATGGTGAATGGGATATCGAGGGAGGCAGATGACACTGGAATGTTAGGCAGGAGTCCTTCCATGCCAACTTCTGATTGAAGGCTGGGGACAAACATGAAGATGAGGTGGGCCCAGTATGTGAACTTGGGAGGAGATGGACAGACCCAGGTATGCACCCCAGCTCTGTGTGACCTGGAGCCAATTGCTTAACCTCTCTGTGCCTCAGTTCCCTTATTCAAATAGGGATGGCCCTACTTCATTGATAGCTTTGGTATAAGAAATGTGGAACGTTAGGCACCTAGTAAGTACACAGTGACTATGACTTCTTCCCTGCCCTCCTTCACAGCCCTAGTAGGAGAGACAGGCAGGTAAACTGATGATTAAACCACAGCGCATCATAAAGCTGACTCCTGCCTGTGCCCATGCACGACCAGCCCCACTCTGGCAGTCTTGGGCAACTTTCCACCCCTCCCTGGGACTTACTTTGCAAGCTTCCTCCTGCCCTTGCAAGATGGGGCTGGTGACTTTGCAGCAGTACAATGCTTGGCATGAGCCCCCAGATCCATCCTTGCTGCCTCTTCCCTCCTCCATCCCTGGGAGGGAACCTGAGCCTAGACTGCTCCAGCATTTGCGACCTGCCTCCTTAAACTACTCTGACAGAGGACCCATGTTTGTCCCTAACAGTGCTGGCTCCACTCGTCTGTGTCAGATTGGCTTTGCTTTCCCTGAGGATCCATCAACTGCTGGCCTTGAATGGTTTCAGCGGCCGGGAGATGCTAAGCCCCATGAGGGCTGCACCTGGCATGTCTGAATTCCTCTAGACAGGCTTGTTTTATTTAAGTGTGTGTGTGTTTTTTTTGTTTTTTGTTTTTTTTTTAAATTTTGAGACAAGGTCATACTCTGTTGCTGGAGTGTAGTGATATGATCATAGCTCACTACAGCTTTAATCTCTTGGGCTCAAGTGATCCTCCCACCTCAGCCTCCCAAGTAGCTGGGTCCACAAGCACGCCACCACCACTTCTGGCTAAGTTTTAATTTTTTTGATTTTTTTGTAGAGATGGGTTCTCACTGTGTTGTCCAGGCTGGTTTTTTGTTTTGTTTTGTTTTGTTTTTTTGCGGAGTCTTGCTCTGTCGCCCAGGCTGGAGTGCAATGATGCGATCTCGGCTCACTGCCACCTTCGCCTTTCGGGTTCAAGTGATTCTCCCACCTCAGCCTCCTGAGTAGCTGGGATTACAGGTGCATGCCACCATGCCCAGCTAATTTTTGTATTTTTGTAGAGACAGGGTTTCACTATGCTGGCCAGGCTGGTGTCTTAACTCCTGGCCTCAAGTGACCTTCCCACCTTGGCCTCCTAAAGGGCTGGGATTATAAGTGTGAGCCACTGCGCTTGGCCCAGACATGCTTATTTTATGATGCATACCTGGAACTTCTACTTTTTGGAACCTGTGCTTTCTGGACAAGGAGTGCATGTAGTTTGAGGCATGATGGCGAACTCCCAAGTGATGACTTGTCAGAATAAAAAGAGCCTAGAGTCTCAATTCCTTTTCCACTCCAGCAAAGATGGAGCTCCTTAATAAAGAATCAGCTTGTTTAGATTGCAGCACCTAGGAAGCATGAGGTGCCCTGAAGTCTGGTTCTAGTTCTGCCATGCACTGGCAGGGGTACTCTAGGAGGCAGCATTGATCTGCCTGAGTCTTTTTCCTGGGGCGGGGGCACTCCGCTGAGCTCACCAGGACACAGTGAGGCGCCAGTGAGGGTTTGGGTGGAAAAGCCTTTTGAGAAGCACTGGAGTTGCAAGCCAACTTAAGACGTTTTTGAGGCTTTGCTTGCCGAGCAAAGGGGGAAAGCTGCTGATGTGGACCTTGATTTTTTCCCCTGTCAGATCACTGGATCAAAGTTTCCATGCGGAAACTCTTAAATGAGAAGTCTTCTTTGTATAGAAGCTACCGGCTGAAGGTGAGTTGTTTCTTTCCTTGGCCTGTTACAATGGTAATTATCTGTACACACACACCACTCAAAATAAATACAAAAAGTAGATTTACTCCCTGGGTTCAGTCTTAGCCCTTGGGGTTTGGTCTCTGGAAACAGATTGTGGCAGCTGTTGGATCCTGCCAGCTGCATCTGCAGACCACATCTCAGTGTGGCCATGCCCCTCTCACCACCGCCATGGCTAAGCCCTGGTCCTGGCCAACACTGCCTCGCTCCTGGATGGCTGCAGTGGCCTCTAGCTGGGTTCCCCACTTCCTTTCTTCATGCAGCACTGTCTCCATTCAGGGCCAGAGGAATGATGAGTTAGAAATACAGTTGAGTCACCCCGGTAGCGTCTCATCACATTTGGAACATAATCTCAAGTCCTTACCACGGCTGTCAGGACATGAGGTGATCTGGCCCCTGCTTGCAAGCTCTGGGCTTGTTTTCAACCTTCTTTCTCCCCATTTGCTCTCCTGCAGAGGCACAGGCTCCTCTGCTGTTCCCTGAATGCGCTCAGCCCCTTCCCGCCTCTGTGCCTCGGCATGTGCTGCGCCTTCAGGCTGCAGGGCTCTCCCCGAAGGTACCTGTATTCCCCCTATCTACTTCTTGTGGTCCCAACCAGCCATCCTAGGACAGCCCTGTGCCCGCCTCTGCTTTCATCCCTTCACCGCAGTGTTTCCTAGCTCCCAGCTTTGTGTGGTCCGACCATTGATTCCTCATGCTGTCACCTTCATGAGATCGATGGCTCCTCGAGGGCAGGGACTTTGTGCTCTCGGTTGTCTCCAGTGCCTAAAATAGTACCCTGCACTTGGTGGGCTCCCAATACGTTTGCTGCACAAATGAATGAATGAATGACGCACTCCGGGCGGTCTGGGTGGTCCAACAGGCCTGCACTTTTTTTTTTTTTTTTTTTTTGAGTCAGGGCCTTACTCTGTTGCCCTGGCTGGCATGCAATGGTGCGATCATGGCTCACTGCTGCCTTGACCTCCCGGGCTGATCCTCCCACCTCAGCCCCCGAGTAGCTGGGAATACAAGCACCACGCCCAGCTATCTTTTTATTCTTTTTTTGAGACGGGGCCTCACTATGTTGCCCAGGCTGGTCTAGCTACCTTGGCCTCCCAAAGTGTCTTAAATTCAGTGCCTTCATTGTGACAGACGCTTGGTGACAGTGTGTGTAAAACCCAGCTCAGGGTCTTGCATGTAGAAAGCACTGAAGAAATATTTGATGAACCAATCTCTCCAACCTGCCTTTTCCAATCTTGTCCCGGAGAGGAAAATCTCTAGATTGGGAGGCCAAGCGCTGGTCCAAGTCACAGAGCTGGGGCCAGAGAATTCAGAGCCCAGCCAGCCCCTTTGACTGCGTGTCATTTTTTGTGGCTCAAGTTGCAGCAAAATGAATATTCTCCTGCCCTCTGTGCTTCCGTGAGCAGTCCACTGTATGACAAACATGGAGGGTGGCAGTGGGCCAGGAGCACAGCCCATCTGTAGAGGTGGCTGCACGTGGATAACTCGACTGTGGGCTGGACAGACTCGAATTCATCCTTTGTCCCCTCGCGGGAGATGATTAGTATGGGCCTGACCCTCCCCATCCTCTAACTGACAGGATTTCAAATGAAACTACGCTTGTGTGCTCTTAAACATTTTCAGTGACAAGTGATGGCCAGTGCTGGTCCTAGGAACTGGGCCGGGACTGCGGGGCCACATCACTTTGTGATCGCGAGGAGAAGGGCATTAGACTCCGTGATATCTGGGCGCCTCCAGTCCCAACACCTGGTCATGTTCTGGGGGCTGGGCCTGGAAAGTTGTCCTTGGGTGGAGTCTCCCACCATTGCTACTGTCTTCCCAGGCTCTCCATCCCAACTGGTGTCAGCAGGTCAAGTTCGTCCCCCAGATGAACCTGGTGGTCTCCTGTTCAGCCGTCGAGAAGTCCTCTCTGGTGCTGACAGTATTGCCAGCCAAAGCCTCTGAAAAACCCAAGTAAGAAGTGCTTCTCTCCTGGCTAAGGCGGTGGGGTTGGAAGGAAGGGGGGTGGTGAGTGGACTGTGGGGGCTGACAGTGGCAGATGGTGGTTGGTGTATGGACTCTGGAGGTTAGTTTTTCCAGCATCGCCACCAGCAGCACAGTGAGAACACAGTCGTCTCTTTTATCTCTTGATCTATATGCAAAGCTCAACATAGAAGCCAGCACAGAGTGAGCGGCAGTCAGTGAAATGTTTTCTGAATGAAGGGATGACTGTGAGTTACTTCCTCCTCTGTGACCCTCAGTTCCCTCATCTGTGAAAGGGTATGAAAGCGTGTACCTCACTTCTTCAAGGGTTGTGTGAGGGAATCCTCTGTGGTATGTGTTCAGTAACTGGCAGCGTTGCTTCTTTGCAGATGGTTCCAATCTGTTTCCTTCAGTCTAGATTCCTCTACCCCAGAGTGCGGTTTTTTCTTTTCTTTTGAAAAACCAGTTAATCACCAGGTGTGATGGCTCACGCCTGTAATCCCAGCACTTTGGGAGGCTGAGG